CCGGTTGCGATCCGGATTACGTGGCACTTCTACCGTCGGGATTCGCCATACTCCCTGACGGACCCGCCGGGGCCAACGGCGGGGAAATTCTGGAGCTGGGCTCCGGTGGGTCACTCATCACGGTCGCATTTCAAATCCTGGTTGATTCAGTTCCAACAGCTAGACTTTCAATTGGATCAGTAGCCACCGTGAATAGCTTGATTAAGTGCACGGTTGAGAGGATCAGAGCCGCTGTGATGCGGGAAAAGCCCTAAAACGCCCCCTTTTTAAGTTTGTTCTTTTAAACTACGGTAACAATATTCTGAAATTTACTGTCGTAATTTCACATAACATCTTATAATTTGAAATATGGAGGTGTTTAATTAATTGGGTTTTTGGTTTGGATAAGCAGTAGGTGAGGAAGAGGAGGAGTCGAGAAGTCAAGAACGCACCTTGAAAAAGCACTTCCCGCTGCCCGGGCGGTGATTTAGAGACGAATGGGGAATGGTTTGTAGGGGTTGGAAGAATCGAGGAGGTTCGGGCATTGACTTTACTCAAACCTTCAACTTCAATAACAAAAAAATTTTCGTTCTAAGTTTAGTGTTGGTCTTCTGTGGTGGGCTTTTGGTGGCTTTGAAATTCTCTAGTTCTTAGGTTCCCATGGTTAATTGTATTTTGAATTTGTCATTAGGTTGATGGGAATAATATTTAGAGACGGATTCTAAAATTATTTGTCTATAAAGTCATGATCATTTTCTAATAACATTAGTCAATTCTTAACTAAAATAAAAAGAAAAGAAAATGGTTAATAACTAAAAAAAAAAATGGTAGCCGTTAATTTTGGTTTTTGGGAGGACCCAGGAATCAGAAGGACAGAATGATTGGTCGGTTCAAACAAAACTCGGCAAACTCCCATTCGCTTCCACCAGCCGTCAATTATATTCCAGTTCAGCCTCAAATATGTGCCGCTAATTATTTGCTGAAATGACACAGCACAGCGCCTCTGCTGCCGCTGCTGCTCCCACATGAGCTTGCTCCTTGTCTGTCACAATGCCTCAATATCGTCTGTGTCGTGTCTGCGTCCTTGAGATTTGAGATTTTCTTTACCCTTTGTCCTTTTGTATCATTCCCATTAGAATCCCACTTTAGCAACTTGCGGTGCATAAACGCTCTCAGAAAATGGAAATATCAATCCGGAGGAGGTTTCCATGAAGTGGGGAGATGCGCAATGAATTAAAAACATGTTGAAGGAGATTGGAAGTGAAGAGAGGCCAATTCAAACCCCCCTACTTGTATATATCATTTTCGTCTCTTCATTCTCACCAAACGCCAACTTCCACCGAAACGGCTATCCAACAGATCCAACATGTTTTTAGAACAAAACCAAATTTAATCAAGCACAAAGAGAAGGTAGGAATTGAATTACTAATTTGAATTTTATTCCGTCATCGGGTTAATGAAAATTTGAAGATCCAACGGTTCTCCCTTTGCCTAATTGAACTCAAAATTGTATTATAAATAGCCACTCCTCTCCTCGCTCTTTTCACTCACCCACAACATCCTCTCTTCCAACAAATTATTCTCCGTTCGTCTTTTCAAATTCTTTCTATTGGGTTTCGTCCTATTCTGCTTTGCATTATCAGATTTTCAGAAGCACCATGATCTCTTCACTCAGGCTCACATCTTCCAATCTCACCTCCTCTGAATTTTTCAACAGAAAGTCTCCAGTTCCAAGGCCGAATCTTCCGTTGCAATTCTCGGATTGCAGTGCTCTTAAGCATGTCGATCGATCTCTTTCTACCAACAAACCACTTCACATCTCATCCGTTGAGAATCTTTCTTTCCCCACAAAATCATCTGAGCGTTCGACGGCGTGCAGGGCGTACGAGGCCGAATCACGACCTCTTCAGATTAACATTGAACTTCCTGATGAACAGACGGCTCAGAAACTCAAAATTGGGCTCTATTTCGCTACTTGGTGGGCTTTGAATGTGGTGTTCAATGTCTACAACAAGAAGGTTCTTAATGCCTTCCCTTATCCATGGCTCACTTCCACTCTCTCCCTTGCCGCTGGATCGCTCATGATGCTTATTTCTTGGGCCACTAGAATGGTCGACGCTCCCAAAACCGATTTCGATTTCTGGAAATCCCTACTGCCGGTAAATATAATTATAACTTTGAAATGCTCTGTTTTGGTATTAAATTTTCTTCAATTCACAAATCTGGGTTTTGATTTTGGAAGAATTTAAATGTAAGAAACTGCATTACAAATTGGAATAGGGACTAATCTTATGCATGATGTGTTTGCTCTGTTGTTTTTCCAAACAGAGCATTCGAAAGTTCAATTCTAGATCACTAATCGGATTTTTTGTGTGGTATGGTTACTTTTATAGGTTGCAGTGGCGCATTCGATTGGGCATGTTGCAGCAACTGTGAGCATGTCCAAAGTCGCAGTCTCATTCACTCACATAATCAAGAGTGGGGAGCCGGCTTTCAGTGTGTTGGTGTCCAGGTTTCTATTGGGCGAGATGTTTCCATTACCAGTTTACTTATCTCTTATCCCAATCATTGGAGGCTGCGCTCTTTCCGCCGTTACGGAGCTCAACTTCAACATGACCGGTGAGGAATCCTGGCCGGAATGTCTGTGCGTACTTGCTGCTGTGAATCTCAATTTGGGGGTTTGTGTTTCAGGTTTCTCGGGAGCGATGATATCGAACTTGGCATTTGTGTTTAGAAACATATTCTCAAAGAAAGGGATGAAGGGAAAGTCAGTGAGTGGGATGAATTACTACGCTTGCCTCTCATTGCTGTCTCTGCTAATTCTTACTCCTTTCGCCATTGCGGTGGAGGGACCCAAGTTGTGGGCTGAAGGATTCCAAAGGGCTCTCTCCCAAATTGGTCCCAATTTCATTTGGTAACTACAAAACCCTCCAAATCCCACATTTCATCGCTATCTGAAATATGGGAATCCAGTGTCCTTTTGTTTGCTCACATGTGGTCCGATCTGATCTTTATTTAGAATGAGATATTGGGAGATTGAAGTTGAACCCATCGTTTGTGTTTGCGTGAAATTCAGGTGGTTGGGAGCTCAAAGTATGTTCTACCACTTGTACAACCAAGTGTCGTACATGTCTCTAGATCAGATATCGCCACTGACATTCAGCGTGGGTAACACAATGAAAAGAATATTCGTAATAGTGTCATCGATTATCATCTTCCACACCCCTGTCCGACCCATCAACGCCATTGGAGCTGCCATCGCAATCCTCGGAACCTTCATCTACTCTCAGGTACACCTTCTCCTCCGATCTCTTTCCCTTTCAAAAGAAAGCGTAAGTCTCATCTACGTATGCTGTTTTCCCACAGGCAAGGCTGTGATGGGATGCGGATTTTGTAGCCACAGGGGAGAGGAGATTAGAGTAGCGAGGGAGAGGGATAATAATAATAATAATTTATACTACATTTCATTATTATTATATGAGCCTCGAGCCTTGAGCCTTCACTCAAATTTGGGCCTAGGTTAAGTCAAGTCTGAGTTCATGTTTTTTATGGCCCAGCCCACTAAAATGCTGTTAAAATGTGGAGTGGCTCACTTCTCCTCTAAGCGTCCGATTATGGACTTGGAACGGCTCGGTTTGATGGACCTTTAAAAATTGTTTTAAATTATAAATGCTATTTAATTTATTCAGATGTTTTAGATTTAAAAAAAATATAAAAAATAATTTGACAATGGAAAATATACACAAAAATAAATGAAAATGGCGACAACACAACGGACAACGCTTTAGGTTGCAATGCTGCTACTACAGTGGCGGGTGAGTGTGCATAGGAAAACAAAATAAAGTGTGCCTAAATTCCAAATTATGTCACCAAAACACTGTTTATAAGATTAGTCCATTGCGAAATAAAGTGCATTTATTTGATATTTTTTTGGGCTAAACTTATAAAACGCAGCCGTTTTGTCTTTCCTTTTTTCCTTCTTATTTGACACGAGAATTGAGACCCATAATGCAGCAGCAGGCGACCAGTGTTGAGATCACACGTCACATGGCAAGCGCCAATAAATTCTGTGCATTATTTCTCACCCACCACTACCTTATTGCCTTCATTAATATTTGAATAATTATTTAATTTTATTAATCAGTAGATGAAATAGTATATTGGGTGATGTTGAATGACAGGGGATCATACCCAAAATTGTAGGCGTTTATTTTGCAGCAATTAAGCACAGATCTAAGTTGATTTCCTTCACGATCTAACCCATCCAGCCCCCCCTTTTTTATAAAAAAACTCTTGTTTTGCATATTACCTGAAATTACCCTCTCAAATTTACACGTAATGAAGAATAGTTGTTGAATCCAGCGACAGACATAGAAGTATTGAAAAAAACAATGTTTGATTAGCATCTTGGGAATTGGTAAACTTCATAAATGCCGGAAACAACCACCCCACCAAGCTGGTTGTGATTTTATTTTTCGTTATTTGGTTTGCGTGGATAAGATCTTGACTCACTGGTAGGGTTCCACACTTCTCTCACCATTAATGTACGCACCATTTATTATTACCCATTTTCACATCTAACAAAACTTTGCATTTTCTATGCACCTAATAATAAGCCTCTCATCCAAAAATATGCCAAATTTTACTTATCGTAATCGCATTTTAATGCCTAAAAGTTATGGTGAGCAAACGAGTTGACGTTTTGGCAACCACTTGAGCGGAATATTAAATTAACTCTGGTGTTAGCACAAGTTACAGAGCTAGCAAGAGATTCAAAGTTGTCCAATTTTGCATTCGATAATTAATGGCATGACATAAAGCAACCAAAATGGTTCCCTATTTGCTCTATTTGCCCCTTTGCGTGATCACAACAAACTCGAGAATTAATTCTAAAGTAGATTTTTGCAAGGGAAGGATGGTAAAAAGTAAACACTATTAAGGCATCATCTCAACTACTTGCTGTTTAAGCCGTACCCTGCGAGTAGCTCTTTATATTTATTGCGTTGTTTAATCAACCAAACTCATTCACTTCGCTCACCAGGCCACCCACCCGCCGTTCTCACCTTTGGTTTTTTATACGCAAAGGCGTCGCCATTTTTTTTCTACTTTCAACTATCAATCACATTTCTTGATCTCGCCTCACCTCTGCTATGGACTTACTGGATGCCGTCGTTCTTCTCCTGGCCTTCCTTTTTTTCTCCTTATGGTGGCGTTACTGGTCCGCTACCGGGGGTGGCTCCAAGAATCTCCCTCCTGGGCCACCGGGCTGGCCGATTGTCGGAAATCTCATACAAGTCATCCTCCAACGTCGTCCCTTCATTTTCGTGGCTCGCGATTTACGTGAAAAATATGGTCCCATTTTCACAATGCAAATGGGGCAACGCACACTCATCATTGTGTCTAGTGCGGAGTTGATTCACGAAGCTCTCGTGCAGCGTGGTCCCTTATTTGCCAGCCGTCCTGCTGACTCACCTATTCGCCTAGTCTTCAGCGTTGGAAAATGCGCTGTCAACTCAGCCGAGTACGGTCCCCTGTGGCGAACACTCCGCCGTAACTTCGTGACGGAGCTGATAAACCCGGCGAGAATCAAGCAATGCAGCTGGATACGGAAGTGGGCCATAAAAAGCCATTTGGAAAGACTGAGGAAAGAGAATTCGGAGAAGGGATTCGTGGAGGTGATGAGCAACTGCCGGCTGTCGGTATGCAGCATTCTGATCTGCATATGCTTTGGAGCGAAAATCCCGGAAGAGGAGATTAAGGTGATAGAGAGCATATTGAAGGACGTGATGTTGATTACGTTGCCGAAGCTCCCTGACTTTTTGCCGGTGCTTACACCTTTGTTCCGACGGCAACTGAAGCAGGCGAAGGAGCTGAGGAGAAAACAGTTGGAATGTCTGATACCGTTGATAAGGAGGAGAAGGTTGTTCGTGGAGAGGAATGGGGATGAGAGCGTGATGAAGGATTTGCCGGAGATGGTTAGTCCAATTGGAGCTGCGTATCTTGATTCGCTATTTGAACTGGAAACGCCTGGACGTGGGCGGTTGGGGGAGGAGGAGCTGGTCACACTTTGTTCGGAGGTAATTAATGCCGGAACTGACACCAGCGCCACGGCGTTGGAGTGGGCTTTGCTTCATTTGGTTCAAGACCAACACATTCAGGAAAGACTATACAACGAAATCATTAGCGTTGTGGGTAATGTTCATCCATCCCTCATATTTTATTCAATTTAATACTTTTAAAATAAGGTTTAAATAGATAAAAAAAAAAAAAAAGCTTGTAATCATAACAGTTTTAGGAACAATTGGAAGATGGGTTCAAAATTGAAATTTATTGTGCTAAATTAAAGTTAAAAGTTAACCTTTTAGTGGAATATTGTAGCAGGTAAAGATGGTGTGGTAACCGAAGGCGACGTAGAGAAAATGCCATATCTAGGGGCAGTAGTGAAAGAGACATTCCGGCGACACCCTCCCAGCCATTTCTTACTATCTCACGCGGCGACGAAAGAGACGGAGCTCGGCGGGTACACGATCCCGGCGGACGCCAGCGTGGAGTTTTACACGGCTCATTTATCGGACGACCCCAACACGTGGGAAGAACCGGGTTCGTTTCGGCCGGATAGGTTCTTGGAGGGCGACGGTGTTGGCGTGGACGTAACAGGAACTAAGGGCGTCAAGATGGTGCCGTTCGGGGCAGGTCGGCGGATCTGCCCGGCCATGACATTGGGGACGTTGCATGTTCACATGATGCTGGCAAGAATGGTACAGGCATTCAAGTGGGTCCCGGCTCCTGGAGCCCCCCCGGACCCGACCGAGACTTTTGCGTTTACGGTGATTATGAAGAACCCTCTGAAGGCTACCATATTGGAGAGGTCGGGTTAATATTAGAGCCACTATTTGTGGGAAAGGCTATAACTTTGGTCTTTGTTTAATTTTGTCATACTATTTCAATTTATGTATACTATCGACTATCCTCCCAAATGAAGCTATTGTATTTCTCCAAAACCCCATGAATCTTTCGTCTCCAAATTTAATAAACCTTATTCTCGTGGATGATTATACGCCTTTTGGAGAAATCCAAAGTAAAGTCACGGGAGCTTATGCTCAGACCAGTCGTGATTTCATCTTTGATACGAGAATTATATTTCGGGTCCGCTTTGAGCTTTAAATTGTGCACCAAAATCATAGGTGGGTTTGCAACTTGATTATTAAATTGACGTTCTGAAGTATGAAGTTATGTCCACCACGTTCTTTACCAACCTGTTCTTCCCGCTCTACACATAGATCGTAGCTTACTAGTTGCTAATTGTTAACAAAGATTTGAATTCGTACATGAAAAGAAGAATAATGGAATTAGGTTATAAGAAAATAAATGCGGACATTTAGTTGTAGCGGGCAAATTGCAGCAGTAATTGCATCCATATGGTGTAGAGGTTAGTTGAAACCATTAATTTTCTTCATTTCTTCAATATTATTTTATATTTTAAAAAAATTCTATGCCTATTTAGTCCTTATGATTTTAAAATTTATAATACATGTTTGAACTTGTAATATTAATTTTATTTTTATTAGCATGAATTAAATAAATCAAAATTTATCCATAAATTGTCTATTACAGATTAGATAAGTGAATTATAATGTGGGCCAGTAGTTCATATTGGGCCTTATAGTCAGGCCCATGGAGTGGTGTTTTTTAGAATCTTGAGCCCAGCCCAAATATATAGTCAACCCTGAATGAAGGAAGGAATACGGATTTCAGAGATACACATAGCAGTTATGAGAGTCAATGGTGTTGGGTAAGATTGTTGTTCTTCAGCAACACATTCAGCTGTAGAGCCAGAGAGATAGAGAAGCAGAAATGGAGTGGTGCGACTCGATGCCGAAAGTGGAGCTTCATGCTCATCTCAATGGCTCCATCAGAGATTCTACTTTACTGTGACCTTCTTTTCCCTATTATATCCATTTTCTGTCTTCTCTATAGTTGCGCCACTTTTGATTTTCACTTATTTGCGTCTGAGATGGTGTTTCTCTTGCAGGGAGCTTGCCAGAGAGTTGGGTGAGAAGGGCGTCTTAGTTTTTTCTGATTTCGAGCATGTCATCCTCAAAAGTACGCCATTTCTTCCTTCCTTCCTTCTTGGATTCAGCTGTGCTTTTAGTTGTTTTGGGAATGTGCAAGAAAATAACATCAATTACCTTTATAGTTCAACGCTTTGAAATTTATGTTATGTAATGTCAGCAAGCTCCAACCATGGCCAGTTGTTTGGATATTGACGTTTAACTCAAGTTTTTATAGTTTCTTATAGGGTTCTCGATATTGTAATATGTACTCTTTTTTCCATGTTACATAAAATCCGTACACCAAGCTCTATTTGATAATTATTTGACCTTTTGTTTTTGGTTTTTGAGAATTAAGCTTATAAAACTACTCTCACTCGTAGGTTTCTTTGTTTGCTTGCCTATAATGTTTTCAAAATCCAAACAAAGTATAGCTTGAGGGACAGAGTTCTTATGTGTCTCTTCATTCAGGTGACCGTTCTCTTGTTGAAGTGTTCAAGTTGTTTGACCTGATCCACATGGTCACCACTGATCATACAACTATTACAAGAATCACCAGAGAAGTATGTCAACATCTTTATTTTTTTTTCCTTTTTTTAAAAAAACATTAATTGTAGATGTATGCTGTGTAACTTTCTCCTATCAATTCTACTTTTAACCAGGTTATTGAAGACTTTGCTTCTGAGAATGTTGTTTACCTTGAGTTAAGAACAACTCCGAAGGTATTCTATCAGTTGCCTTCAATTCAGGAATGTACTTTCTCATTCTCTAGGGGTTAGGCTTAGTTGTGGAGATTATAAATCAACTTGCTTGGTATGGATTTCATTTTAAACAGAAAAACAAGTCAATTGGAATGACCAAACGGTCATACATGGAAGCAGTTGTGGAAGGTTTGAAAAGTATCAGTAGCGTCGATGTTGCTTTCATGCCACATGATGTTGATGCCCGAAGTTCGTTGAATTCTCTGCCTGTAGACAACGCTAGAAATGTTACTCCAAGAAAAAGGATATATGTTAGACTTCTTTTGAGCATTGACCGACGAGAGACGACTGAGGATGCCATGGAAACTGTATGTTAGCAAAGCAAACTTTACCTTGAGCTTACACCTCGGATAGTGGATGAAACGATCACATTTATCTTGCACTACTTATTGCAGGTGAAACTTGCACTGGAATTGAAAGATGTGGGAGTAGTTGGTATTGATCTTTCAGGAAATCCAATTGTGGGTGAATGGTATATTCCCAAGGCCATTTGTCACAAAAGCTTTTTTTTGTTTAAGTTGGAATAGAATCTAACCCTTCTTGAACATGATGCAGGACCACCTTTTTGCCTGCTCTTCAATTTGCAAAAGAAAATGGCCTTGACATAACACTTCACTGTGGCGAGGTACACTATCTTTTCGTGTACTCACGCTTGCTGGGACTTGAAATGCCCTCACCAGTTTGATCTTTATTCCTGGAAGTTAGTGCTTGTAGGTACCTAATCCGAAGGAGATACAAGCTATGTTAGACTTTTGGCCTCAGAGGGTTGGCCATGCGTGTTTCTTTCAAGGAGAAGATTGGGAGAATCTGAAACGTTTGAACATTCCGGTCAGAAATCTAGTATTTCTACCATGAGTTTTCTCTTCTTGATGACACTGCTGCTTGAGACTAGCTTTCTTTTACATCCTTAGGTCCTTTTGCTGAAGATTGTTGACCATGAGTTTAGACCATTTCTTGTTATGATATTGGCGTCTTGAAAATATTTTTATAATTTTGAAAAAAAAAGGCACATAGTTCAAGATTTTCTAAGTAGAGAGACAGTTCTAGCCCAGAAGAAATCAAATGGTCTAAAATTACCTGACGTTCCTTCTAGAGTGAATGAACTTCTTCATCCTTTCCTCCCAGCTTTGTCGATGTCTTTGAATCTGTCTTAAAAAGTCCTATTTCTCTCCTTTCAGGTTGAAATTTGCTTCACATCCAACCTCAGGACCAATTCAATCTCTTCAATAGATGTTCATCACTTTGGTTAGTTCTCATTCTTAAATGTATTGGAAGGGTTCAATTAAGAAATTCATCGTAACCTTTTGGGTTATTCTATGCACTTAAAGTTAGAATCACTGTTGTAACAACCTGTGATTGACAATGCAGCTGACTTGTATAAAGCAAACCATCCTTTAGTAATCTGCACTGATGATTCTGGGGTTTTCTCCACCAGCGTTTCAAAAGAATACAGTTTGGCAGCCTCTGCGTTTGGTAACTAAGAACTATATTGTTCATGATAAATGCAATGAACATTAGATTAAAAGATAATGGTCTGAAGTCCCTCGTTTTCTCTTGACAGGTCTTGGAAAAAAGGAAATATTTCAGCTGGCAAGAGATGCTATTGAATTCATATTTGCAGAGGATGAAGTAAAGACTATTCTGAAACAGATGTTCGATTCTTTCGTAACGAACCTGGCTCGATAATCATAAAGTGCATTTGAGATGCGCGGGAGCAATTAATCATGGTAGTCAACGTATTGATGCATTCAACTTGTGAGGATCATTCTGACTAGTTGGTTTTGATAGACTCCTGAAACTTAATTCTGTTTCTTCAGGTTTTTGTGTTGGAGGGCACACTACACATAAATTTCTGAAGCCATATTCAGCATTCTTGGATGATTAATGGAGATCTGATCAATTGAAATGGCTTCTACTTGTCTGGTCTTGTCTGTTCCCTGACCCTCTACTATTTCTCTTCTGAACACTTCCTGTTAATTTAGATATAGGTTTTAGAATTGGTTCACTTGCTATTTGAGACAAATTTCTTTCTCACTTCTAGAGCCAAAAACAGTTTCAAGCTTCAGAGTTATAAGTGATAAAAGAAAAAGAGAAAAGAACGCTGTAGTTTTCAGTTTATTATGTGACTTAAATAAAAGAATAAAATTACAGCATGTTGTGACTCAAGATTGAACCTTTTTTGTGGATTAGATAGAAATGGTACATCTGAGGTATGCCATTTAAGGTCATAAGGGCGGATCTAGCATCACCACTGAATGAGAACTCTAAATCATCCTTACCCTGTTAGGAATACTAAACTGATGGCAAGGAGCAAAAAGCAAGATAACAATGGGCAGGCTCCTGTTTGGTTCTCTGGTTTATAATTATAGAAGAAAGAAATTATGAGAAACGCTCAGGAAACCCATGAGGGCATGCCTGTGCTAATGATGGCCAAACAAGTCAAAAGAGATCTTAAGAAAGACATTATAATGGAGAAACATGCCTCCAGAGCAAATAACAAGTAGAGTATGATGTCCATTTGGCTCCCAGTATCCACCAATCACGCAGTAACTTCATATTATCAACTTTATGTAAAGTAAAATTCATCAAACAAGGAGATGGATGGCCTAAACTCAAAGCAACCCCGAAAGTCATCGAGAAAAGGGTATGTGAGAAGGCATTAGAATGTATAAAGGGATGAGCAGAAGCAGAAGCTTCTCTGAGAAAATGGATGGTATTGCTCCACTTGCAATTGGCACGCGAGGCACTGTGGGGTCGCTGGTGATGAAGGAGATTGAGTACTTCACCAAGTTTGAGGTGGAACGCCATGGCAGCTCTCAGAGGATAAGTGGAGATGCTTCGAGGAGAAGCGATTGTAAGGGAAGCTTTTGGCTTGTGTCCTTGACTTGGAAGTGGAAGAAGAGAAAAGGCAATAATGGGATTCTCCCTAACATTTGCAGTGCTGTTGAATTGTCAAAAAGCAATCGCTTCAATGGGATTCCTGGTTTCAGTTACAGGATTCTCAAACACGACTTTCCCATTTGATCTTCATTTTGTGCTTCATTTCGAGGATTGCAGCGTTTTTTCTTTACGGGAGAAGGAAATTAAGCCATGGCGGCTCTCAAAAGAAGATTGTATTTGGAACTATCATTAATCTTTCTTTTCTTCTTCATTCTAACAAGAGTGAGATTGACGGCAGCAATGCTTTTGCTTGGCATCCATAATGTTTATAGCATAAATCAACAAATCTTATGATTTTTCTTCAATTGGAAGGTTTTGAACATTGGATCATTGAAAATGGGGTATAATGGAGATACTAGCTTGTTTTGTGTTCATACATGGTAGTTTTTTTTTTTTTTTCACAAAATAAATTATCAAATAACTTTTTAAAAGAAAGCCACAATGGACAAGCCATAGACAAGACCGATCTTGGTCCAACCAATAATTTAGGTTTGTTGGGCTTCGGCAACCCTCAATGAGGACCAAACAAAAGATTGGCTTATTGGTCCATGGGCTGGAGAAGATCCTCGGCCTAAGTTTTCTTGGGCCGAACGGATCTTGAGTTTCTTATTATCGGGCTGAAAAGGTCCATGGGCTTGTCAGAAAGCCCATCCATTGTCTGAAGAAAATCCACGTGTGTTTTCATTATCGGGCTGAAAGGGTCCATGGGCTTGTCAAAAAGCCCAGGCATTGTCTGAAGAAAATCCACGTCTTTTCATTATCGGGCTGAAAAGGTCCATGGGCTTGTCAAAAAGCCCAGGCATTGTCTGAAGAAAATCCACGTGTGTTTTCATTATCGGGCTGAAAAGGTCCATGGGCTTGTCAAAAAGCCCAGTCATTGTCTGAAGAAAATCCACGTGTGTTTTCATTATCGGGCTGAAATGGTCCATGGGCTTGTCTAAAAGCCCAGCCATTGTCTGAAGAAAATCCACGTGTTTTCATTATCGGTCTGAAAAGGTCCATGGGCTTGTCAAAAAGCCCAGGCATTGTCTGAAGAAAATCCACGTGTGTTTTCATTATCGGGCTGAAATGGTCCATGGGCTTGTCAAAAAGCCCAGGCATTGTCTGAAGAAAATCCACGTGTGTTTTCATTATCGGGCTGAAAAGGTCCATGGGCTTGTCAAAAAGCCCAGCCATTGTCTGAAGAAAATCCACGTGTTTGCCGTCGTCTTCATCCGAAACCTGTAAAACCTAATTGCAGGCACACCGACTAGAATCCACCGTCTACCTCGGAGGAGGAGTAGCGACCTTCACCTTTACAAAGGCCTAAATCGGAAAGAAAATGACCTACTAATGGCGATTTTTAGGTCTCTTAAAGCTCTAATCAAGAAGAATCCCAGTCGGTTCAAAACCTTCCTTACGACCACCACATGTACAATTTCAGCTCCCTTCTCGCCGCTTTCTTCTTTTCCATCCCAGCCTCTGTCTCCCTTCGGATATCACTCAACGAGGCTTCTTTCTCCTCTCTCAAAATTGATTTTTCCCTTTCATGGTCCTCTTTTCCTGTCGTCTCCGCCATGGAAGCTTTTGCAGTCCGCCACTCCCCTTTATGTACAAGGAAATAGAATTATTTTGCACAGAGTTGAAGCTTTAAATTCTGGATTCAATTTGCTTCGCAGAACCAATCTTCCCCTCAGAATAGGATTTGGGTCAGTATCATCCGGGCCACACTTGTTGGATCGATCGGATTCGAACACAACAAATGATAATTTGGTACATGGCTTCGTAAATTTGCCCAACTTAATTTCAGTAAGCCGGTTAATTTCCGGTCCTTTTCTTGGATGGTAATGTTTCTTGTTCTCCACCCTTGATTTCATCAAAATTTAAATCTCATTCCATGTTTCCCAATTGACTCATCTGTTCGTTGTTTTCTTAATTGGCATTTCCGTTGTACATTCTTGAAGTTAATGATCGATACATTTTGCATCATCTGGATGTTGATACAGGATGATATCAAACGGCTGGTACTCTTCGGCGATGGTGGGATTAGCTATATCAGGAGCAACCGACTGGGTACTCGGCTGATGTTATCTTTCTTGACTCAATCACAATAATATTCTGAATACGAAAACGGTTGATATACTTTTAATTAACTTTTGCCCCCTCTTTCGTAGCTAGATGGATATACCGCCAGAAAATTGGGAATAAACTCTGTAGTGGGTTCTTATCTGGACCCTTTGGCTGACAAGGTAAATTTTGTATCCCCTACCCCTTCTAGTTCATGTATACTTTGAATTGGGTTGCTTTTATTTACTCTTGTTCTGGTCTTGGGATCAGGTTCTCATTGGATGTGTTGCTTTGGCAATGGTGCAGAATGATCTTCTCCATCGTAAGCATTCCATTCCTCTAATCTAATTCTCGTTGATTCTTGATTTCTTGTTGGATTGTAAAATACTCCCAACTGTAAGATACTACGATTCATTATTCGAGAAGATCATCATTCGTGGAATTTAAATGTTCTTGTTTCAATCTCCTTCATAGTTAGTCCATTGATTCCCCTAGGTATGTTTTATGTTTTGATGTGATCGGCCAGATTTGATATTGAAGATTGAACACATTTAAATCGTGGAATTTCTCATCATTCATTTATGAGTATAAATCATGATTTTGTTTTTTATCGTAGCTGGACTTGTTGCCCTTGTTGTTGGGAGAGATGTCTTACTTGTTAGTGGTGCTGTATATCAGAGAGCCAATAGCTTGGGTTGGAAGGTGAAAAAATTGAATATTGTTACTCTAAAAGTCCCTGCACTGCCATTTTCTTGATGGGATACTCGCTCTGGTTTCTCCGGAACTAGCTTCCTCGCTAATGTTGTTTGAAAATTTTTCAGTGGAGAAGCTGGCATGACTTTTTCAATCTTGACGGTTCCTCTCCCCAAAAGGTTGAGCCTCTGTTTATTAGCAAGGTAATTATAACTTCCAATTGTACAATTACGCTATCAGAAAAGGCTGGATTCAAGCATGTTACTTAGTAAGGATGATGATTGTGTTAGGTCAATACTGTTTTTCAATTGGTATTGGTCGCTGCTGCGCTCCTGCAACCCGAGTTTGGAACACAGGAGACTGAGCTCTATGTCACGCTCTTGAGGTATGTCAGCTACTAGCTTTTTGATACCTAAGTTTATCATCTCTAAATAACATATCAAAAAACTTACCGTTCTTTCGATCGGCTTGCAGCTGGCTAGTGGCGTCAACGACAGTGGCCTCAACAGCAGCATATGGAACACGGTTCATGAAGAAGAGTTCTGAGTTGATTGCTGGAAAAGTATAGGGTCTAGTACTTGCAGATTTGAGCAAAGCTTCAGAAAAATTGTCTGAGATCTCCAAACTTTGATGGCATGGATGTGAGAAGGTCTCGGATCAAACTGTGTTTCAACAGGCTGAATAAATTTCTACAACAGAAGATTTCCCTTCGAAATGAAAAAGAATTTGTACTCTTTTTAAGTTTGAATAACATGAGCATGTACATAGTTCTCGGGAATAGTTATTTGTGCCAAGTGCACCCAAAACATGTCTTCATCGAATTATTTGTGTTTTCTCTTATTTCCTCTCTAATAGACAGAAGGGGACGTCAGTATTATGTCAACAATGTGAAGGGACTTTAATGTTAATCAGATCAAGAAATTCCAGAGCGAATAATAGCATTGAGATTTCACTATCGCACAAAGGCAATACCAAACAAAGGTGGGAAAATTGAATCCAAATTTGGTGTGTACTATGTTACAGATGAAAAATACAATTCCTTGTCATCAGGGGTTGCTCCTTTCTTGGGTGGATAAATGCCCAAAAGATGGTAAGCTTCAGTTCACTAGACTGCTCAAATGTCTAATAACTAATCTTGATGAATATCCTCAACAGCAGGTGCTGCAAATCTCAAATCCACGGGCCGTGCCACTACAACTGCTTCATCAGCAAATAAGGCCCTGATAAAGGATGGGGTTTTCAACGGTCGACGGCCTGTCATTCGTGGGTACACGTCTTCAAGAAAATAATAAGCGTGGCCAGCAACCATACCCTGAGTCGCAAAAGAATTCGTTTCCATAGGGAAAAGGTTACATTAATTTAAAGCAATTCGTGCTAATAAAAAAAAAAAAAAACACTGACTAATATTCTTGGCCTCAACTACCCAACAATTTCCGTAAACAACCAATGCGAGGGAAATTGATTTATTTTGCTGTTTGTTAGTAATTACATATCATACTTTAGCCGGTACTAAAATGTTTTAAAATACCAGTATCGGGAGACTCCAGGTTAAGAAAATATTGAACTATGCAAACCTAATGAGTGTCGGATCAAACATAACAAACTGTGAAGAATTATATTCCAAAAGCAGAGTCAGACAGCATACCAGTAGATCTACCCATGCACTGGCCCCGACAAGTACAGAGAACCCCAGTAGAACCTGTGCAGGAAAAAGGAAAAGAAACAAAGTTAATATTCTATCGTGAAGTTTAAGGTGATGCTTTTACTGGTGAATAGAGAATTCAACTGAAAGGAATTAACATTGGATGGATCTAGTCATAGACAAATTTTCAACTTCAGGATGCCTGAAAGAATAATAATATGCAAAGAAACCCAGGCTTACTCACCCATGGCAGGTAAGCTGCTGTAAAAGTAAAGAGGCCCAAAAAGCTCATATGGATGAACGGATTTTGCTTGCTCCACACATAAACCTGTGTATAAGAAGATTTGTTAAAGTAAAAAGCTGAATTGCATGAAAATAATGAGACAATAGCTCTCATATTAGATGGAAACTAACCATCATGAATGTCAGAGAGTTGCTAAGGAATATAACTTCAGCAATTGACTCGGACAAGTATGGTATCATTCCCCCAACCAAAACAATTGCAGTTAGCACCGTGGCCCCAAATAAGAGCATATAAAAGAAATCAGCTGTTCTTCCCCTAAAAGAGTTTTCTTCCAGAAGCTTGCAGTATCGGGCAAGAAAAAACATGTGAAACAAAAAATCCAAATCTGGCAATAACAGACACATCACAAGTTAAGAGTGGAACATCAGATAGTTGTCAATTTCAATCTTGTCCAAAAGAGAAATATATACATATAGTATATATAAACTGAAAATGCTGAAAGAGTCGAGAAAGATAGAAGATGCCAAATTTTCCAGCTCCTTTGTAACTAAATGAATATAAAAAGAGGTAACCGACCCAAGAATATACAGGGTAAAAGAAGCTTAGTTTTATCCTTTTGGGGTAAGGGGAAGAGGTGGCTAAATCATAATTGCAAGGACGAGGAAAGGATTCAAAGGTTCATAAGTAAAATAAGGTGCAATGCAATATTTTTTTCCATAACAAATACAAGAACAAGACATCAACACCTTTAGCCTGCTAATTACATCTCGTGTGCATACAGACCAGAACTTCATAAAAGCTAAAACCCAAAATAAACAAGAACAAGACATCTAACACCACTCTCGTGCACTGCAAGGCTGCAAGCATGAGTTCTTATTCCAAAAGTTGACGATCAATGACTACAATCAGGAAATGGTATGTGCATGAAAAATGTAGTATACTTAAAAATGATTAGCTTTCATGATGCATCACTGTGGCACCAATCTAACTTTCCTATTAAAAATTTATATGTTGCTACCTTGCTTCAAAGGTACCTCCAAAACATGGATTAAATTTCATCATTGCATCAAAACTTTCATGAAGAATAAAATTCAAGCTTAAGGGGCTAATGTAACATAAGTATCAAGTACATGAATAAGATTCTTCATGTAAGCAGTCTATGGTCTACAATTTCAGGCAGATAATGAATGTTACTTAATAACCTAGTAATCGGCAACCCTACCATTCCGGAATGAGCAATGAATGTCAATCATTTACCAAAAGATTTGAACCAACATATAATACTGAACTTGTAATGTACACAAAAGCTTCATTCAAAATTATCGCACTTATGAAGGAAGATAAAATACGTTGTAGGATAAATGTTGCAGGTAGTAGCGTCCATAATAGAACAAAATTTCACCATAACAGTATACGGCCGATTTTTCAAATTAGTGAAGGGCATGGAGAAAATAATGTGAGCCTTTAGGGAATGAATAACAACCTGTAGTTCAAAATTTTCTATCACCGAACAACAAGATCTAGTTATTTCACAATACCTACAAGCATGATTTTAATTGAAATTGATAAAAGTCAGGACTAGGTTGAATTTCAATAATTACCCATTTTTCGGAAGAACAGGAAGTTGGTAATCAGACGCCAGAACTGATACTTCTTGGCCACCAGGATAGGGTTCAAGTAAAGATGATGCGGAGAAATAATCTGTAGGATATAAAATCCGTAACAGATTATTAACTAAACCAAATGATAAGCTAAAACAATATATCATTTGTGAAACTCCAAAATTAAGAAGCAAAATGATGTGGAACAAAGGCCAATAAGATTACAAGGATGAGCCACACGTTTAAAGCTTAAGATATTCGAATAGAAATCATCCTGAAACAACAAAACAGGGAGCCTCCGTTTTGGACCACTAAGTATCAGGAAATGTTGACACAAGAACTTAAAGAATTTTGTACAGCAATCCTCATCGGTCACTAAAATCATCAAGAATCACCATGGAAAACCAAAAGACCAAACTAAAAATCAAAATCTCCCAAGGCAATACTAATCGACATCGGTAACCATGCGGGATGGCAAAACAAACCATTAATGAATCCATAACAAATCAAAATCAAGACTGAGAGAAAACTTTGAAGGCATTCTCAAAACCTTCCGCTTAAAAATCATAATGTAAGAGATGATCCCTAGAAAGAACAAAAGATAAACCTAGATGATTTCAAGAACAAGAAAACTACAGCTAGAAATGGAAAAAGGGGAGACAAGGTGCATACATCAAGGGAACAGCCGATTGTGGTAGCAATAGCGGCAGTGAGATAGGAGCGGGTAATAATAGGCATTTGCTTGTACCATTCTTCCACAGCTTGAGCCATCGAATCTCAGAAAAATGATCGCCGATAAAGAAAAACGTCCGGTGAAGATCGAAGACGCAGAAGGGGCTAATGTTTGCAAGCTTGAAAGAAGAACCGAAGCTTGGAGCGAAGAGATTCTCCGCACAATCCCACAGAGAAAGAGATCCGCAGAATCGGGAAGGAAAAGTTTGGAGAAGAAAGTCGGCGAAACAAAACAAAACAGCTATTCCCCGTTCTGCGTTTTTACGGTGATATGACGATTTGGCGCGAATAATAGCGCGAGTATATTGCACGATCCAATCACCCACTCGGTAAATCGAGTAGTTTTACAGTTATTACAATTTACCCCCAAAATGGAATAAGCTTTGTTTTGGGCTAGGCCCATCGAGCCAATACGATACTAGTACAATCGATCCATTACATCGCTTACCCAGCAATCTGGGCTTAGGTAGGCTTAAGTACTTGGGCCTGAAACCAATTGAGTTTTCATTCTACATGCAGGCCCAATAGACTGCGAGGAGACCACGAAGTCATTTGAAGCTGAGCCACTTTCATGGCGTTGAAGCCAAAGACTCGTAATGAAGATCCTTTCACGGCGTTCTCCCCAAATGAGGAATGCTATCTCTATTGGCATGAGGCTTTTTGGAGAAGCTTAAAGCAAACCTATTAGAGCTTATACTCACCATGGTTTCTCACTCAAATCAATAACTTATATTGTTCTTTGGAGTTTTAATTTTGTTCATGACCTTTGTTCTGTGAACGAAAACTTTTCAAGATTGTATAATTTGTTCATGGCCCCAATCAATTTTATAAGGAGTCGCAAATTTCTGGTGTTTCAATCACCTTTTAATGACTAATTTAATTATGTATGTGGAATTTTCCTCGTCAAGTAATGGGAAGCACGTTAATTCTAAAAAATATCCGTCGCTGAGGCCTAAAATATTCCTTTATGAGACTTGACTTGTAGCGTTGCTACACTACACCACATGAGTGACAGGTTAAGAAAAAGAAAAGAGAGAAAAGGTCTCGCCTAGGTGGCTCCCACAAGGTAACATCAATCTCAAACAAAGAACGTCCTTATCCAAGGCATCAATCAAGGAAAATTTTGTATATTTCTAATGCAAGACTCGAACCTAAAGCTACGACATGAAGGAAGGCGGATTAGAGAAACCAATTCAGTCATGTTTTTATTCGTTTGAAATATGGCTATTGATAGTCATTTCTATTTACTCATTTTTCCGTTTTTTTTTTTTTTTTCCTCTGGTATCATTCCTTTAAGTTGTCTTTTATTAATTTGTAAACAAATTAATTACTTTTTAAATACTATATCTATATTTAGATAAGTTTGAATGAATAATATCTCCTAAACAAAAGAAATGCATATCATTATTTTAAAAAAGTATTTAAAGAAAATAACTGTTCTTTTTACAAATAAAAAAAAATAAAAAATAAACTGATATCTATTGTCTCTTTTATAGTGATTTTACCAAAATAATGCGTCCATAATTTGATGAATAAAAAACAAAAAGAAAAAGTTAAAATCAAAGGTCAAACCACATACAAGATAATTGAGCACGTGAGCACGTGAGCGACATGTATTATACCTAATTAACAACTTCAATGCTTTTGGATTAATTTATATTAAGAAATACCAAATCGGGATTACCTTTTAGACAATGCATCAAATAATATAATTGACTCGTAATCATTCCATAATTAACCAATACACATCCGACATCTTTACATTTTCAAAATAAAAGAAAACTATCTCAATAAACACATCTTGAAAGACACAAAAGCTAATACATTATCATATGGTTGGTTACATTATAATTCCAGTTTATTAAACTTTTCAACCATATAATGATTCAGATTATTGGATGAAGCTTTGTCATTAAATTATGGTTTATTTAGTAGTAAAATAAGGGTAAATTTTAAGGGTAGTTTTTTTTTTTTTTTTTTTTAGCTTGGCATTAGATTATTAACCTTATGCCAATACATTTGCTTCTAATAAACTTAATTCTAAGCTAGCAGCTAATTAAAAACATTAATGTCGGGTAAATGGCACATTACAATCCGTTCAATTCATGCCCTTCCTACGTCATAATAATTAAACAAACAAAACCAACATTATTTTTCCAAATATAATGAAATAAGAATAAAGAAATTAAAAAGTCAATTTCTTTACTCTACATATACATACTTCAGATTATCTCAGGAATGCTCTGCAGAGAAGGCCTCCATGAACGTTGCTGACGCAATTTCACCATCTGCCCAATATTCTCATCATCTTCTTCACTATCGTCACCATTTTGATCGCTAATAACGTTCACAAGACGAGCCATAACTTGTTCAAAACTGGAGTCCGCCATGTTCAACCATCCAATCAATTCCTTTAGCTCCTTTTTCGTCATCCTTATTTTCAACTCTCTCAGATTACCCTCTTTTGAACCCTTGATCGTAGTAGAACAAGAACCAGCTCCATGCCTTCTCTGACGGAGGTTCTTCGGCGGCTGAGCCCTCCGATCACCGCCCGACACCACCGGGGTGGAGGATTGACCTCTGCAACAGTTACCCATATTTTGGTCGGAATTTAATTCGTATAGTCTCCTGGGCGATATTTGTATTTAAAATTGAAGGCAGAAATTCAATAAGATCCGACATTGTAAATAAAGTTATTGTAAAGTCTGTACACGTGTCAATAAATGGAGCTGGTAGCTGACCAAACTCCGATTTGGAAGTTTTGCAGCTGTGGGACCTGCAGATATATGATGATCTCAACGGCCACAATCAATTTGTTTTTTGTAATTGACCATCTCCCTAATCTAACCACCCTAAATTATATAACGGCTGTTATTTTATGTCTCGCTAAGAAGCTATAATAATAATAGTATTTATCTACTATCCAAATAAATAAATAGAAATTTCATGTTATATAATATAACATAATTTAACAGATTTTTATTTGATGGGTGTCCCATCATTTATTCAAGTTGGGTTATTTACTTTCTCTTCATTTCTTTAATTATTGAGTCTCTACCGTTTATTAATAAATAGTACAAATTTACGAAATAATGAAATAGAATTAAAGATGTTGTAGACTTAATATGTTTATAAGCTAAAGAGTCTAATAGTAAAATAACAAAAAAATGTTAATTTTAAGAAAAAAAAATTATACGGTATAGGGATGAGATGGTATATGGATGCATGTAACAAATATCATATATTTTTCTTGCACGTAGCGGCATAAAACATGCAGTTTAACACGATTTGAAGTGAATGAATGCAAGGGTATTTAGGTGAACTTGGTTGAAATTTTGGGTGACGTAATGGAGTGAATAATTGTGTTAAAATTAAGGGAAGATTAAATAATGGGAAGATGTTAGGTGAAGGCGTGTAGGGTAAAGATTGGTGAATATTAGACATTTCTTGGTGGGTTTCTTGTGGTTTCAATAATATTTTAAGATTTAATTTCTGGTGAGCTAAGATTGCACCCCAAACCTTTCTTCTAAAATCAACGTATTAACTATATTTACTTGAATAATATAATTTAGCTTTAAATTCTGAAAATATAGTTTTTGTTAATTAAGAATGAAAATAAATGCAATTTTTCAAAAAATTATGTACTCTTTGGGAATGATATTATCCTGTCTGCTTGTTTTCGTTCATGAGCTAAAAAAAAGTTCTAATGATTGGAGCCTTTTGAGAATTCTCTGATATGATGGCCACCAAAAACTCTCCAATGTCGTCTCGTTGCCGGACGGCCAAGTTTTCATGCAGTCCCGGCGGCCGGTGCCCAAACTTCGTGGTTCCGATGCCTCCTCTGTTGCGGTGGAAGTTGGAGGTCAGGCATGGATCTCGAGGCTGTAAACAAGGTAAATTTCAGGCCAGAAAGCTCGCCGCCGACCTCTGTCAGCTCCATTACACGGAAATTTAGGTGCCGACCGGAGGGTATGTTTTATGGAACTGAACCGGATCGGTCGGTCCGTCGGTCTGCTTTCCGCAAAACAAATCCAACCTAGTTTCACCGCTACATACTTCCATCAAACTGCATTAAAAAAAATATTTTTATTTCCATCTAATGACGAATATTTTAATTTCATACGCACATCGAATGTAATTTGATATAAATAAAATTCGACTGTAAATAACCAAGTTGTAATTTTTAGAAGATTTAGTTTAATGAGCTAAAGGTATAGTTTAATAAAATGATCAAATAATTGAAAAAATAGTGAATGGTATAATTAAGTAATGGATCATGGAAGACATGTGAGTATAGGATAAGTTAAAATTATGGAAGTGGGAGTAGCATTTGGCCTACCAAATTAAAAATTGGACCAAACGATGTGATTTCAACGAAAGTGACTAAATTAATTAAAGGGTTAAAGAAACATAATGATTAAAATGTCCGAGGAAAGTGACCACTCAAAAACCCATTTAAAGCATATATCTTTATTTCCTAAAAAAAACATACCCATAGAGTATTTCTTGTGTTTAGGAAAGAGAGTGAGGGCTGAAAATTACCCAACCTATCAGCTTCGTGGACTAAAGCAACAAGTTGCACATATTTTAAGATAATTTTTATGTATGTGATATCATAGCGTATGAAAAAACATAAAACTTGAGTTGATTGGTGTAGTTGGAAATAAAAAACATAAAACTATAATGATGGATAGTGTAATGAGTGTAATACAAGGAGAGTGGCCCAAGATGAGTCATGCAAAGACATAATACGAGAGGAAGAAGATAATGAATTGTGGATGGCAAACCCATTTGTTGTAAGTTTAAGACAGAAAATGTTCACATTTTATCATGAGTAAAAGTTACCCAAGGCCCAAAACTATATAATAAAAAAAATATTAAATAATATCAAGATCTAGGCCTATAAACCTATAGTCCTTATAGGCTTTAATAAAACGACAAAGCCTCGGAAACTTTAGCGTAGTTAAGAGTGAGAGGGAAAGAGAATAAAAAACGTAGGCATGTTAATAAGCTACAGCAAATCTCATAAAATGATTCTTCCCTAAGTTTACACACATCCATAATTAAATAATTCCCCTATGATTCCACTCGCACTGCAATCATTGCTGAAGCTGTAAGCAAGTGGATTAAACAAATCAAACCCCCATTATTTTAGAACCCTAAAATCATCGGATCCAATTTTCAATACGCATAATACCATTGAAAAAGCCTCGCCTGCTTCCAACTTAGATCAGATACTGCCATTATCGCCCCAGTCATCATAATACTCTATTTAAGTACTTCT